TTTAGACTACCCAATAAATTCCGATTTTTAACCAGCAAGACTACCATTAAATATAAAACTAATTTCAAGTCTTCACCGCTGCATAGATGGTATGYAATAAAAAATCTATGAAAATTCCATACAGCCTTACTTAAATAGTCGTTTATCTCAAGAAGTATTAATGATAGCGAATTTACGCTCGGATTTTTTATAGCAAATAAAATTTCCTACAAGTTGGTCATGAACAATTTTTCTGTAGCYCTCGTCATTTACGAGATATATACAAAAAATACGAATTTCTTGGAAAAATCAGAGTTATTGCAGTGTACTACCTCACCGGTGTGAGTTACGACTTTTTTGTAATAGACACTTTTGTAGAACGTACAATTCTGAAGAATATACGTCTAAGTCTAAAGTCAATGCGATGCCATAAAATACCTCTGAGCTATAGAAATTTAAAGWTAAAAAATCACGATTGTCGTGTATTTTGAATGGAAAATTTTTACATGCCTAGGTCCAGTTCTTAATATTATTATTACGGGGTCAAATTCTCAGGGAATTTTTTAGGGTATTTCCAAGGAAATTTCATGATGGGATTGAAAAAAATTCATAGTTAAAAAAAAACACCCTAATACACATACATATGATAAGATAGAAATAATATCTTTAATATCTCCATAATAAACTGATAAGCAGTCTATTCGGTATGAAAAGCTGCAAAATATCAAAAAACAACAACGCAACTTTCCGACCTTATCAAAATTGCCAAATTTATGTAYCGATTAGGTGCTAAGCGTAAAGTACAATTATTTTTATTTATTAAACAGAGGTTATATTTCTTAAAGGGGGGTTATGTGAAAGTATGAACTTATTCAAACCATTTTTACAAGCGAATGAGAACATATCAGCATTAAAGTTTTTATGTTCTACTTTTTAAWGTTATATATATATCGACAAAGGGGATATTATTGGAATGTAAAGGTATATATTTTTTTCGAGTTGCGTCCCCGAATATTTTTTRGAGGCATTTAATTTTTGAAAGAGTTTGTAGTTCAGATTCTAAACACTAATGCCGAAAAAATGTTATGTTAGGTCCTCCTGTGTAACATACTGTGAGGACCTCAGATGCTTACGGTACACAAGAGATCCTCCATTGTTTCCCTGGTGTCCTGCTGTAGATATTTTTCGCAGTCTTCTCGATCTGTCAGCCATATCTTGCGGGAGTTTGTCGCCACCAGACCAGTTACTATTCCCATCATGTTCCTACAGTCTCTTCTATCGAGTGCCAATACCATATCCATCTACCGTTTCACATATTACTTTTGCAGTTTTGCACCCAGGTAGCTCCTTCCATCGGGTTTTGATTTTCTTCACCATGCTTCTGTCCAGATCATCGTATAACAATKCATGGGTTTYCCAATGTTAAMCACGTTTTCRGATGTTAGCCATACACCAATCTTGGCAATCTCGTCCGCTATTTCATTGCCYTCAATGACTTTGTGGCCTGGCTAAGTGTAGAAATGAAGTTGCTTACTTATGAGTACACTTTACACTGCTGCCTACTCTGGAATTGCCTGCATGTGCATTAACCAGGCTAGATTATATTTGAAAAAAAAGCGGTATTTTCTCCATATTCTGCGTAAATTTATATTTTATATTATAAAAATAAAGATTTCCACAAATCTAAAACCTACTGACTCTTTTAAAAAATCTGAAATTATGACTTTGACTTTTGATTGAAAATAACGATTTTTTTCGATTTTCAACTAATCAAGGTTAATATTTTAGTATTTTAAATTAAAAAAATATAATGTATTTGGTACATAAGTAAATACTCGGAAGCTTACACCACAGATAAATGTAAAGACTTTAAAGTTTGGTTAATTAAATTTTCTACATAAATTTTGAAAAAGTCTTTATACAAATGTTATGGAACTTTTCATTACGTTATTTAACGTCTAATTACAAGACTCGTAGTTTTGCCAGAAATCGAGATAAACCATTTTCAACCCTTCAATATTCAAACACTCTCCGTTACCATCCTTTTCCCGACCTCAAATCGTTCATAAGCTATATTTTTTTCATTGAGAGTTTTTTATTTTGTCTTTCCATAAATTATTTTACCTTTAATGTTTATTATTTTGTCTTTCGTTTCCGATGGTTTTCATTTTACGACGTGTTTCTTTCTTTTTTATTATTTTCATAGGCTAACAATTTTTACCATAGTCTAACAAATTTTCAGAGAAGAATTTATAACAGTATCAAGAGCTTATAACTTTGTCAAAAATTTTACTAATAAGATTTTTATTTCAGTAAAAGTACTGAAAACTAAATGAAAAGTATTTCACAGCAACAAACAGYTTTTAATAAGGTTATTTGAAAATTTCAAAGAATTATTATTACGAATTGCCTATAACAAACCGTTCCGATTCCACTCACACACCTCCTTGATCTACCGTAAGCAATAAGAGAAAAGCTTCAAGGCCGCACGTTATCGTTATTCATTTATTTTTAAATATTACTTTAAGCCTGCCTGCCAGTTACCGAAAATGCCTAATGCCATATTAGCCACAAGGCTGCACAACAACAGTGCAGAACTTGCCCAACAGTTGCTATGGCTCCGATTTCGTTTATCAGCGCCTACATGTTTGTATAAATGGRTATATATGTACTTACATATAAATATATAAGAAGTAGCTGAAGCCCCGGAGACATTACTGCCCCCGACAGAACAGTCGTAGCCATGTCCGTTATTCATTAAAGAAAAAGCATTCSTTTTTCGGCCGCCTGCAAAAAGGTTCAAATCCAATGCGGTATTGTCCGTTGGTAAGAATTCTGCTTCTCGATTCCTGTCGCCTTTTGCCTAGGTGGCTATTAAAAAGAGACGGAATCCATTAAAGCGTGTTTTTGGCTATTTATATGCTAACGGAGTTGTAGCTRTGCCAGTAAATTGCTTTTACATATGATTTCACACCATCTTTTATACAAAAATATAAAGATGGAATGTTTGTTTGCGGACACATTTTACATATCAATTTATTTTTGTATGTATGTTTATAAGCGTTTGTCTGCTTGCTTATTTAACATTTTTGACACACTTTATTTGTGTCCATTTACATTTCCATTAAAAACCAACAATTTTTTWTGTCTGACCTCTTGATCTACAATCGTGTGTAACGGTATGCACGAGACACAATGGAATGAGTAAAATATATTTCTTGTACTCGCATTCTGTTGCGGCTTTACTTTAATCCTTATTATGGTATTTAATATCATATATGCC